AGGGCAAAAATGCCAAAAAATGAAAGGTATGGACGTTTTCCACAATAGACTTGAAAGGTAGGGACGTTTTGTGCCAATTACCCTTTAATTAACGGAAAAACTAACGGAATATGGACGGAAGGACGTCCAGCGCAAAGAAAGGTTGAAATGAGGGCAAAAATGCCAAAAAATAAAAGGTAGGGACGTTTTCCACAATAGACTTGAAAGATAAGGACGTTTTGTGCCAATTACCCTTTCAAGTATTGTTAAAATCAATGAAAAAAATATTATTTATATCAGATGCTGTCAACAAAAGTATGAAGCAGAATGTAATTATAGCAGCACTGAATAAAGTCTTAAAAATATAATAATGTGTGAAAACTTGATCGAAAAAAAACCAATAAGTAAGCGACACGAGTAGATCATATTCTCAAGCGATAATGAATAAAAGGAATGATGCAAAAGCTAACATTAGTGCCAATTGATGGTTGTCATATGCATAAGACAGCAGAAATGAGATGTTGCTAATCAAGAAGACATAATTTATAATTGAAAATAATAAATAACAAGTTAAAGTCAACCGTTGTTCTAAATTTGCTGTTGTCTTAACATATATTTGAGCATTTATCGCACCAAATTTTTTTAATATATGAGAAGATATCAAATTATAATGTATCAGTGTGTCAAAAACTTTTTGATATTAAAAATTGCAAATTCGAGACAGCGTATCTTAACTCGTTTAATGGTTAGTCACCTAAATTATGTAATAAAGATTCTTGAACCATGCTGCTGATATAGAATCTAATCTCACAGAATGGGTATAGATCACTCACACTTGGTGAGGCTGAGTGAATTTTTGGGCATTTTTTAATCACAACAGGGGCCTATACATGTGATTGTGTTGCAACATTCTGTGAGTGAACAGTTCTATACAAATGGTTTATTGCAAGATTCTTTGCTTTGTGCCAAATTAATTGAAGAGTGATGAGTGTTTGGATTTCAGATTTCAATGGTTGGTTCACATGCAATAAAAATAATGATTTTTAGGTCACAGGTGCTTGCAAAAGTCATCATCAGTACAAATGGTGGTTGGTTTCTGATGCTTGATAAAGGAAAAATAAAATGATGCCTTTGAAACTTATATTTTTGTTTACTTTTGGTCAAACGTCTCAGCATCAATTCGAAAAAAGATAAGAATTTAAGATCAAGAATCGGTAATATTGGTAAACTTCACAGATCATTTTCTGTTCACTCAATATCTTGAAGAATCAATCATCTCTTTATGATTTTTATCAAAATGAGAATAATATATTTTTAAACTCTATATCATTGTTTCGTTTTTATTTGATTAAAATCAGCAAATTACTTTTATAATTCGTAAAATAAGTAACTAAGTGAAAAAAGAAAAAGAAAAAAACTAACATGATAATGTGACAAAAATCAAGACCATAATCAAATAATTCACATGGTAGATTAAATTCACACTTAAGAACTTTGAAACATAAAAGTCTCAACCTTAATTTATAATAGTATATCGTATTAAAATACGGTTAATATTTAAAAATTATCAATAACTTGCCATGTTTGGTAAATTTATAAATTATTTATAAATAATTGTCTAATTTTTAACAACACATTTCAAAATCCATAAGTATTATTCATTTATCTACTACTCATTTTTATTTATTTATAAATGAAAAACATATAACGAAGATCTCAAACTATTCAAAACATGGCTCACACCTTGAAGCAAGCACGGCAAACCAGACCAAAAATGAAAGGGGCGGAATTTAATTATTTTTTCTTTTGACCGAACAATGAGAGTGATGAAGGTAGTTCAATCTAAAACAGTAAGGAGCGGCATCGACGGCAGCTAGGAGTCGGGGTTGGTTTTGCAAGAGGGGATTGAAGGTTTGGTGGTGTTTTACCCCTATTTGGAGTGGTTGGTGACGACAAATTTGGAGTTTTAAAAGTTTAGTTTAATTAAAATAAAGTAAATCTTATAAAGAGCTTGTTTGAGCGCCCCCCCCTGCCCCTTTTTTTTTCCGAAGTGCATTTTGAAATAATAATTTAATAGAGAATGCGTGATTAAATAGCAGCTAAAAAAAGTGTAAAGTATTGAGGAATTAGTGGTTACTTCAATTGGTCCTTTCTCTCTCCTCTTTTACCAGTGAATAGTGAGTCTCCTCTAACTGAATGGTAGAGTACTTGTCTTTTTTAAGTGTGGCCATAATCTTTTACACATTTGAATGAATTAATTATGGGAAAGAAAAAGAAATCAATTTCTATTCTTAAATTTGAATAATTTCCCATTCACGAGAAAATAAGAAAAACTTTTAAATTTGCATATAATATTTCTTATTGAAAAATGTGTAATTGAAAATAAGAGAAAAAAATATATTTTGAAAATAATGAAGACCAAACAAGGGCTTCGTGTTTAATTACATGGATAATTATGATCAAGAGTGAAAAATGACGTATAGTTAATTTTTTTTCCTAAGAAAAGTGCGCACATGTAATTTCTACCAGTTAAATCCATTCTTACTGGGCTTAGTTTTCGTAGTTTATGGGCATTCTCTATTCATTAACATCTCAATTCAAATCTACAAAATGATAATAATAATAACAATAAAGATATGTAATTTTTGGACACGAGTAATGCTACTTGTACATAAACAGTTACATAATGATTTACATATAAGCGATGTGTCAAAAAGAGAGTGATGAAAGTTATTTTTTATTTTTATTTTTTTTTAATTTGGTTGAAGAAATTTTAATCCAATCATATCTCAACACATCATATGCACGTAAATTATTATGTAAACCTATTATATACATGTAGTACAATCGTTTGGACTTATTAGATACCATTCTAGAGTTTAGCTGCTTACAATACATCGAACTATTGAAGTACAGTAAGTCTCCATGACTTAAAGCATGTACGCACTCATATATGTATGATTCTATGTATCAAACATGCCTCGAGTGGCATCACATGCCTACCGCATATGACACATAGCCTTAGGTCTAGTTAGTTCGACTGTATACCAATATTTCAAATCTCTACTCAAGACTTAAATTATAAGGAGTTAATCGCATTGGATGAAAGTATAATGTTTCTCTTAGTAAAGTTGGAAGGGGTTTGATCAGTCTTTCTAAAAGATGAAATGTGTTGTACGGATGAATACAACTGCAATAAATACAACATCACATAACAATAATATCCTTTGTGAAATTCTAAGAACTCTCCCAAATATTTTCAAAACTTTCGCATCAAAATGTGATCTGACTGTATCCTTCACAGAGTCACCGGTGAGATCATTCACGTGTTAGATGTGGAAAACTCTTGAGAAATGGATAGCAACAAGATTAATACAGAAGGATGAAATGGTAACATTCTAGAATTAAGCCATCCAGTAGACATTGAAGAATGAAGACCATACTTTTTTCCCTCACAAATTCTATAAATTTAGTGGTCTCCTCAACCTTGTACCCACCACAGAAGCCATTTTCCAATACGAAGAGTCAATTTCAAGAATGATGATACACAGACTTCAATCACTACATCAAATCCCTAAACTTCTACAGACTACAGATTGATCATGTTAAGCCACTTTAGTCTTTTGGAGTTTTTTACAACTAGAAAGGTGTAAAAGGACGAAGGTAGGGGACCTAAATGTTTCCCATTTTCTAAGTCAAGGCAAGTAAACCACAACATTTTCTTTCTTCTGTCCACAAATGGGAAAATAATTAGAACCCTTTCTTTTAGGTGTTATCAGTACTCTGAGATGTATTCTGACCTCTGCTTTTTAGGTGGAATGACTATTCCTAAAGCATGTTCATTCCTTCTAGATCTTCTCTATGAATTGTTCATGATTTTTGAAAAATATTCACGAGTTTTCGGTAATATGTTTGCATTCCTATCTTTCTTATCACATCAAAT